GTAGTCATGTATTGCATGCCTTAGCGGTTAGACCATGGACCACAGTGCCGGGGGAAGGGGGGGGGGTACGCGTGGCCGCCGAGGGTTGTGATTGGTTTAAGGACCCATTCGCGCGCAAACCGTTTCTGTCTGACAAACAAAAAACAAAAGTTGAGAGACTACATAAACGAGTACAATTTCGTGGACTTGGTAACTGTTGTTGGGCTTTAAGAGATTACCGCTGTGCGGCTGTTCCAAACGAAACTGCCAGCAAGAGGTTGCTGCGCTCCAGAGCTCCAGACAAGGGTGCGGCAGGCAACCAATCGTTGGGGGAGCACGCTTACGTCTACCGCGATTACCAAAATCCTTTATCTCTCTCGGCAGCACACAGTGGCGGTCCCGACATACCGTACCGCGGTACCGAGGATTGCGGGGTCCCGATACACCACGGTAAAAATCGCTTGTTCGCGGGATTTGGCTGCCACGTTAAAAGCTACATGTTCCCCAACACTCATCAATAGTGCGGTGTCCCGATATACCGCGGGGATTTTATTCCTGTCACTACACACCGCGGTACGGTATACCGGGACCACGCAACTGCACCTCGTTCGTGCACCACGGAGTAAACCAAACAAGATATGTGGTCACCGTCTCGCATCTCACGATACATCACATCATAATTGTTCACCACAACCTTTTCAACGGAGAGATCAGGGTATCTGTGCCGTGCGCTGTTGCCCGGAAGAGTTTTGTTACACTATTGGGTGAGGGATGGGTGGGAGGGGGGTGGGGTCACGTTCGCTCAAAACTACCAGTAGTATACCTCGTTCGCCCAGTTCCCGACGAGCGAGGAAGGGCAGATGACGACCGCCTTCCGGCACTCCGCCCTGCGGTGGCGCAGCACGCACGTACACAGCGCGATCGCCGTGGCCGTCTTGCCGAGGCCCATCTCGTCGGCGAGGATGGCTCCTCGGCCCTCATACCTATCGCACGGTGGAAATAGAAAAATATGGAAGAGAAGCACAGGTCCCTGTTTATTGCCGGTTGGATGGTGCCGGTTACCGTTATGTTAAGTGCTAGTGTTTCGGCGGGCACACGCTGACGTACTACCAAGTAATTCTGTGCTTTGAACATTGTTGGCGTTCGTTGTTGTGCCGGTGAATTTTCTTGGGGCATACCGGCACTAAACAGGGACCTCCACTGTTTTCCCCAAAAGGGGAAAGAAGCACAGACAGTTGTGGGGGAAGAGCTGACGAGCAGCGGCCTCGTGTTCGGTGCACTCGTGCTCCTCGTTGGTTGTCTCGTGTCTTTCAAATTTGGTGGGCAAGAGCCCGCTGCTTGACAAACGTGTGTGGTGAGTTGCTCGTGTGCATGGGGAGAAAATCAGACCCCCTTCTTTTCGGTCAACAACAACACGCCATCGTGGGACAAGAACAAAGGCGCTGCGCCAACCACGCTTAGAGGGGACAGTTTCCACAACTGTCGAAAGGCAAAAAAACAAGTTGTGGCCGAAAGAGAATTGGGAGGGAGATGTGGCTACGAGGCTTCGGAGGGGGACGGCGAGAGGTGGCTATGATACAATCCAGAACATGGCAACAGATCATCTCACCCCCCCATCCTGCACACTCTATTAAGTGTCCAATTTTCACACACGACACGCACTACTCACCCTCCCCGCCCCGCGAGACACTCCCACAGCATCTTCAGTCCCTCTCGCTGGTGGGGGTGCAGCCTGCGCGCCAGAGAAGCGCCCGCCATCACCGGCTGAGGGGGGTCCCCGGCCGTCCACTCCAGCACCAACCCGTCCGGACTCAACCCCGACGCTCCACCACCACCACCACCACCACCGCTACCGCCGCCGCCGCCGCCGCCGCTACCACCACCACGACCGGCTCCGGCAGAGCGGGAGAAAGAGCCGCCCGTACCCGGCGACACCCGCCTGGCAAGACTCTTCTCGCTCCCACCGAGCTCGTGGTTCTTCGACTCCCGCTCGTTCGCGCCGGCCGCCACCGCCGCTGCACCCGACGATCGCGGAGCGTGGAATCGCCGCGCCCCGCCTACGCCTCTACCGGCACCCCCCAGCCCCGTCCGTTTGATGCCGCCGCCGCCTCCGAGGACCGAAGTCATCGTGCCAGCCACCGGTCCTACCACACCGCTTCTGATGCCGTTGCCGAGGGGGGCCGCAGCGGCGGGAGCGGAGAGCAGCGATCGCGGCCCGGCCTTGCCCAGCATGCTTGTCGCGCCCAGCTTCTTGCTGGGGCCCAGCTTGACCCCGCTAGCTGTCGCTAGACGCACCGGGGTCCCCGTCACCTTGCCGGAGGCGGCGGCGCTGCCACCACCGGTGGTGCTCGCCGTCTCCGACGCGGCGTCTAGCGTGCTCTGCTGCTGCTGCTGATGCTGCTGATGCTGATGCTGCCCCCCGATATCGGCCATGATCTGGATGCTGATGCCGCCCACCCTTGACTCGTCCCCGTCTTCCTGCAGAACCGCCGAGGCCTCGTCCGGCTTGAGGCGGGTGGAGGACACCTTGGCGGACGCGTCCTGTGTTGTAGTTTGCGCGCGTTCCGGGTACGTGTGTGTGAGGAACAAGGGTTGAGGGTATATTGGGCACAAATCGCGGCAGGCATGCGGGGCGATACCACGGGAGTGGGGGAGTGGGGGGGAGGGGGGGGGGGACGCATGCCATAGTCGTTAGATCCTCGTGTCCCTAAAATGACGAGACGATACCGGGTTTTTGCCCGCCCAGTCTACGCTTCACAAGCATGAACCAGAAGCTGATAGTGTCATCATCCTTGCGTTGGGAGCGGTGAGGGGGTAGGTTTTATACACGGTGTGCGTGTCTATCCCTTCGAGCACTCGTCGTGCGCTCTACAAGGTTGGGTTTCCACAAGGCGGGCGTCCACCAATAGGTGCGAAAAGCCAAACCGCGGCGGGCAAGGTGAGCTGCGTCGCAAGAACGGCAAGAGAGCGAAACACGAAGAACCGGCGAGAGAGGCGAGAGCAGGCACACATACGGGAGAGGAAGATCCAGCACTGCTCTACTTTTCTCTCTCCCGCTCACACATTTCTTTCGGGCAATTAACCAAAGCGTAGCAGATCCGCTGCTGTAGGGTGTGGAGAAGGAGTAGGACCGACGTGTCTACGGGGACGTGTGCTTACCACCGTACCTTCAAGCATTGCTGGAGAATGTGATATCTACTGCTGTACACCGTAGGTGATGCACACAAACAAATGATGTTCCACACATGTTCCCACAACGAAGTCGTTGAGTCTGCGGACGGACTCTGTACACTACTACTATAATACTCTATCCCTCCGCTACTCATGCATGTGTGTATACGTATGTGCAGACTATTTACCCATCTTACGCTGGTGTGCCTCTGTGGTCGAATTCAATGAGAGGAAGCGAAGAGCAGCAGCAATGGCATCGTGTGAGGGAACAACGGCATGACATCGCTACTACTTGCCTCCCTACTGTACACATCTGCAGTACACGGGAGATTCCATTCTGCTTGTAGTGTTGGCAATTTCAATTTCGTTGGCGTGCACGCACCTGGTCCCAGATGCTAAGCACACCCGTGGCCGGGGAGAAGCGTGCTATGCCGTCGGTCCACCGCTTTCTTTTCTTCTGCTGGGCATCCTTCGACCACAAGCAAGTGAATTCCATTCCAATTGCCAAGGCTCTCTGCTTGTTCGGGGATAATGGAGGCTGGAGCGACGGAGGTGGAAATTCAAATTTTGAATTTCCTCTGTTCTCTACAGGAGTACAGCAGTAATAGTAGTAATAGGCCTCGTTTGTCTCTCCACGATGAATTCAGATACGAAAGACGAACTCGGCACAGCACGACCCCAGCGCATTTGTAGGTGTATGTGACCCTGCTGTGCACACAACCAAGCAATCGGGCGCAGAGCAAGCAGCGGCCAAAACAAAGACAACCAAACATGTACAGGGGCTCCGTGAATCACGTGTTGGATGGGGTAGCTCTGCCGGCTGGCTCTGTGCTCTGCTGCGCTGCTTAGTAGCTTCGCCTGCCCTCGCCTCTCTCACCGGCCCAGCTCAACGCATTGTCATAGCCGGGTCGCCCCCACCTGCTCTCGAAACAAACTGGGTGGGTACCCGAGTTTGATCCGTTTTCGAGCGCAATCGGACTGCAAGGGCATATCAATCACAAGGTTTCGTTGCGGTGCTGCACCGTGGATTTTGTTGAGGAGGGCATCGCAGCAGCAGCATAGTCCGTGTTGTTGGCGATCCTGCGCACGGAGGCGAGCAGCATTGCACGTGCGAAGAGGAATTTTCTCTGAACGCAAGGGATTGTTTAACCACCATGTCGGCTGACCCGATGGATGTCGAGGTGAGGAGCAGATGTGTCAGCAGCGGCGATGATTTTTGCGAAATATTCAAATTTTCGCGCTTTCTCTCTTGTCTCTCTTGGAGCCATCCTACTGGTGAAATCCACGCTCCACGCCTCCTCGGAAACAGCCCAATTTACGCCAATCAAAACTGCGTCCGTGTGTGATGTACCTGTCCGTACGGTGATCTCGCCCAAAAAGTTTATCTTCGGCCACAAGCATCGTCGACACGTGATTTTGAAATTTAAATGTTTGCTCTCGAGGGAGACCTACGCAGAGGAGACTTTTCATCCCAGGTATTGTATCATATATGTGTTCAGTAAGGCAATATAATAGTACATTGGCGTGCACAGCAGCGGCTCTTTCCTGACCTGTGGCAGTGCCAACACGGCCTTGCTCTTATTCAACTCGGTGTAGCGTACTACCAATATTGAGTTAGGGTCAAGACATCTGAACCCAGGGATTGTGAACAGCAATTGTTGGTGTAGCATATCATGGCAAGCAGTCATAAACGCAGCTCGTTACATGTAAGTATCTAGGGCTTACCGCCTTGAAGAAGGTAGGCGACATGCATGAAAACGCGCCACGAAGGATAGCAGCAATGTCAGCAAGCAGATTTGCGGTAAAGATTTCTGCTGGCAAGTATTCTCCGTGCCATTTTTATGCCGCAGCCAGAACGAAGTTTACGCTGTGATATGCACAGCAAACTTACTCCGTCTGTCCCACTCGTCGAAAGGGCGTTTGGTGTCCAAACACCCTGTTTGGTTTGGATCCCCCGACATCCGCATCCCTTCGCGGGCCGGTTGATCCCTGAAGCGAACGAAACCCGTAGTCGTTGAGGCCGTCGTCGACCAGCCTTTTCCTTTGAGTGCCAAATCATGGAGTACACATTTTCTCTCTCTCTCGGTTTGTCACATGCGCCGGGGCTCCTTTCGTGCTTCTTCTATAGGCACCTCGGATCCCGCCTCCATGACAACCGTATTGTCGGGGTCGGAACACACACTTTTGAGCAATTTCCGAGAACGACGACGACGACGACAACAACAAACTTGACAACAACGACAACAACAACCACTACCACCACTGCAACAACAACAACAACAACAACAACAACAACAACAACAACAACAACAACAACAACAACAACAACAGCTGGAATCCTCGTGCTTCGCGACGACCAAGCAGGTGACGGCAACAAGCAAAGGCAAAGGCAAGGGGAAGGGGAAGATGGCGGACCCGGGGGCGCCGGGCCCGACGACGAGCGCGGCCGCCGTGGCACGCCTGGCGCACCGCGAGACCGCGAGGCAGACTCTGCCCTGGGTGGAGAAGTACCGGCCCTCGTCGCTGGAGGAGCTCGTGGCCCACGAGGACATCGTCGGCATCCGTGAGTTCCGTGGCTGTTGTCGACCCCTCCGCTCTGCTGCAGCAAGGCGTCCAGCCGGGCACACCCGCGCGCAAGACGGCTATGTGCCAGCCCCTGCTGCTGCTGCTGCTGCTGCTGCTGCTGCTGCTGCTGGGGGTTGTTGTATTCGGGGGCTGGCTGGTGCCATGCCGAGGAGCCTCGTGCTCCGGAAGAGTTGGTCGCAAACATGCAAAAGAGCATCTTAACTAACTTACGTGGAGGGTGTTGGAAGCAGGGAACGGGGGTTGGTCAAATCTCGTTGTACGTTCCAGTTTCCAGTTTCCCCCATGCTCTTTTTTCATCCATCTACTAGGTGTGTGTGTACCTTTTGGCCAAACTAAAACAGTCGAATTATCGGATCGGAGTGTGTGCCTACTCTCTGTCTTGCTGAGTTCAGACCCAGCAAACACACGTTTCCACATGCACGTAGTGACAGGCCAGGATACCATGAGAAAATTCATCCGGGAGGATAAGGAAATGTTTCGGACCGATAGTATGAGAGAGGTTCAAGTACTTGGATCCATATGTGTACATGCATAAGGCGCTTTGACGTCGTGTGTAGCGCTGCAGCTCAAGATCACTCACGCAGACCGTCGCCACCATGCCCCTGGCCCGAACGTACAGGCGCTTCGTTCTGACCGTAGCCCGTTGACCTTCATGCTTTACACTGAATTTTGCGAGCACCAAATCGTCCTAAACCCAGGACCTCACGCCCAGGAGCACCGAGGCAGGGCAATTTTTTTTTATCAGAATAGCCACCACCCTACGTGCACACTCCAAACAACATGGTCCTCCCCTTGCCCCGCCCCTGCTCGTACTATATTTTGCTTTCGCGTGTCGGCGCACCACGCGGAGCAGTCCAGAAGCTGATCGCCAGCAACAAGCTGCCGCACCTGCTGTTCTACGGCCCACCGGGGACCGGGAAGACCTCGACCATCCTGGCGTGCGCCAAGAAGCTCTACGGCGCAGACTTCAAGATGATGGTCCTGGAGGTGGGCGCGCGTGCTGTTCTTGTTGTCGGTACATTTTGTCATTGCAATACTGCAATGGTGGCTCCCGATATCTCGCGGTGTAGCGACAGACGAAGCTCACCGCGTTTTATCGGACCCGCGCTATTAGGGAAAGGCCCCTAAATAGTAATTTGGTACATAGGTAGGCTAAGTTGTTGTGCCAAGGAATTTTTACCGTTATTGTCGGGAACCGCGCTCTCACGGATCGGCGATGTATCGGGAACTACTGTGGTGTTGTAGGTTCACAATGGAATCTTCGTTGACGGTCGCACCAGCCCATGACCAACCCCCGATGCATCCATTGTGGTTGCACCTGCGGTATTCTTGGACACGCGCCCCCGGGCGATTGACCATCGGTGATCGATCAGTCCTGTGGGAACAATGCTCCGTCCTCTTGAGAACGCTTGCGTGGTCAGTAATCTAACCGCTAAGGCATGCAAGATATGAGTCCCCCCCCCTCCACCCAAACCCCTCACCGCCAACAGTTGAACGCCTCTGATGATCGAGGCATCGACGTAGTGCGAGGCCAGATCAAGGAGTTTGCCGGCACGAAGCGCCTGTTCAGCTCCGGCGTGAAGCTGGTCATCCTAGACGAGGCGGACGCGATGACCAACGATGCGCAGTTTGCTCTTCGCCGAGGTAAGACCCCCAAAAATAATGTAAAAACAGACGCTAAACCACACCGGAGGCTACGGCTTTCATCAAATTTTGACTGAGCGGAGCAGGTACTAAAAGGCTTCGGGTTGGACTCGGTGTGTAAGGCAAAAGCTATTGAGCGTCATGTGGTTTTGATATTCGGGTTGCAGGGGTAAGAGTCATAGCCGCTGGTGACCGCTTGCACGCTCATGATCATGCCAACAGGCAACACGGGGGGGGGCTTTTGTTTTTTATCTTGATTTGCTCCCGTCGCAGGAGTTGTATGGCCCGGCCCGAAATTTCCCCGACTTGCACCGAGACCTGTCCCCTGCGCGTAGCTAGCGGCCCGGCGTGAGCGGTACGCTTGGAGGTTGCCCTCCACCCACGTACCCACCTGCGCGCTCAAGTCTTTAACGCCAGCTTGTTCCATCTGCAACATTCCCATTTCCCGTTCTGCCCCCCCCGCCCCCCCCCACGCGCCTGAACTCCCAGTTATCGAGAAGTACACGAAGCACACCCGCTTCTGTATGATCTGCAACTACGTGAACAAGATCATCCCGGCGTTACAGTCGCGGTGCACCAAGTTCCGGTTCGCCCCCCTGAAGCCGGAGCAAATACAGGGGCGACTGCAGCACGTGGTGGATCAGGAAAAGTAAGCTTGGAGGAGGTTGCTCCTGGGTTTTTGTTGTTGTTTCTCTCACATTAGCTCTATCGTCCACAAAAATGGGGAGCCCGTGGTCGCAAAACCCGGCACATACGACGCCGCGGGGAAACAAAACAAGAATAGAGTACAAACCACTCGGAAAAAGAAAACAAAATGATAGAAAGAAAAGAACAGCTACCGCACCGACCGGTCGAGAAAAGGAGCCCTAGGAAAACCGATCAAAATAAAACAATACAAAAATAAAGGCAAAAAAAATAAAAAGGGAAAAAATAGTGCTTCCCACACCCGCCTAAAAAAATCAAAGGGTACCGTACCAGCATCAGGCACTACGCACCAGGGCATGGGAGTAATGGAGGCAACAGAACAAAGAGGCGGCAGATGGGCAGACAGCCGTCTATATAAAAGCAAAAGCAACGGCAAAAGGGAGATCAAGGTACCCAACAAGGCAGAGTAGGCAGGGAGGACATGAAGAAAGAAGCTGGGTATGTAGACGTGGACGGGTTGTTTGTGTATTGTTGTGGGTTCTGGCATTGACCGCGCTTGGGTGGCTGTGGGCGGCTGATGGAACAGACGTGGGCCACTAGGCCTCACGCTCACGTCTATGCGCGACACGACGCCTCGGCACGCCTCTTTTGCCACCCGCTCTCTTTCTTTGCGTGTGCTGTCAGGTGACCATCTGCCTTTTTCCCTTTTTTTTTTAATTTATTTTATTTTTTCTTTGTCCAGGGTTACGATCACACCAGATGGCGTGGAGGCGGTGATGCGCCTGGGGCAGGGGGACATGCGCCGCGTCCTCAACCTCTTGCAATCCACGCACATGGCCTACCAGAAGGTGAAGGGCGGGATACCGAACACCACAACCGTAGTGGTTGAAAAACGTGTTTTTTGCTGATTGAAAGTGGCGACGAAAAGAAAGCAAGAAACATGAACAGAGTGCCGCTGCGCGGCGGCATGCAGTGCGGCCGAACAGTTTTGGTGAACTGCGCTACAGGGCAAACGATTGGTCAGTTTATGGTTCAGGGTAAAAAAATGGCTTTATGGCTGATGGCCACACGCACGGTTTTGCGTCGTTTGTTGTGTTTGGGGGGAATAGAGGCGAGATGCAGGAAGAGTACATACTACTTCTCAATTTCCTGACAACGCTGCCATTTTTTTTTTTGCGGATGTGTGCGCTCTTCTTCTGCGACAATTCCTCCCCCATCCCACCCCCGCCTGCCGCGCCCACTTCGCGCGTGGAACGCATGGCATGGCAGGTCGACGAGCGGCACGCCTACCTGTGCGCGGCCGCACCTCTGAAGGAGGACATGGAGTACATCCGCAACGCTCTCCTGACGGCTTCGTTCAAAGTGAGATGACGCAACGTGTTGCAGTTGGGTGGCGGTGAAAAGAGCCATGTGCGACGTTCGATTAGAGCAGAGGAGCCGTGCGCAGCCTTTGTTTTGTCCGTGTGTAGTTTCTCTTTCTTTTCTCGTCGTTTGTTTCAAGCGTTGGTTTAAGTCGAGACCGTTTCTGTTCCACAGGTAGTGAAGCTGATCGACGGTTCTCCCTAGGGAAACGGCGTGATTCTTCCTCGTCTCGTCCCCTTTGCAGTGCTCTTAAGCCGACGACTTTCTCTCGCTCCCCTATCTTTTTTTTGTCCAGGACTCTTCTCCTTTGCATCGGTCTTAACAGTCGACGACGTTCTCTCCCTCTCTTTTGTTCAGGACGCGTTTGACGGCATCCTGAAGCTGACGACCGCGAAAGGATACTCCCTCGGGGACATCGTACAGGCGAGAAAACAACCCAAAGAAAGAACAACAAGCGACCGACCTTGTTGCAGCTGCGTCGTGTCTGGTTCCTTACCCCCTGGGTGTTACCTAACAAGCAGTGGCACCGATTTTACTCTGGCTCCTGATAGAATGTCTGTTGGGACACGTCTTGTACGGCATACTGCTGCCGTGGATTCTGTTCTTTCGACGATCCTGCGTGGGTTTCGTAGAGAGGGGAGAACGCAAACGTTGCCCTCGGTTTCCGGTAATCTTTCTTAAGAGCGCGAGGCTGCCGCACTCACGCGTCGGCTGACTCTTCGGGTGGTGTCGAGCGGAGCCAAACGCCGGAGTTCCGTCGCTTTCTCCGGTTGGTTGTGACGCTTCAAGCACTCCCTCTGTCTGCTACAGCAGTCGCGCTCCCCCGCCTTGACTTTTGCGCAGCCCGTGATCGATGGCGGGGCTTCCTCTCCCGAAGGAGAAAAACGGGCAAAAGGAAGGGGATGGAGGCTCTCGCGTTTATTGGTGTTATTTACTTATTTATTTTGTTTCTGGGGGGGGGGTGTTCCCTCCGAGTAGAGAAGGCTTTTAAAACTTGAAACGAAAACGAGTAGAAACTATCTGTGACGACGGCGTTGACATTTTGCCGTGGACGATCCCCCCCCCCCCCCAACCTCCCGTTTCTCTTGGTGATGTTCTCGACCCCGCAGGAGCTCGCGCTGAAGGTGATGGAGATTGAGCTGCCGGCGGCGGTGATGGTACACCTTCTGGACGAGATGTCCAACACGGAGGAGCGGTTGGCGCACGGGGGCTCCGAGCGGCTGCAGCTGGGGTCCCTGGTCGGGGCCTTCGCTACCGCCAGGTATATATATACAGCAGTCGATCGAAATAGTCATCTGCCCCGCGCATTGCGTACGTTGTGTGTGTGAGAGCGCGACGCTGACTCCTTTCACCAGCCGATCGGACAGCAGTGTGGTATGAAAACAGCTTGAGTGACGACGCGCTTGTTTTCGCACTGGAACCACCTTCGTAGACGTAAGTAGTGTGTAAACGAAGAACGCAGGGAGGTGTTTGTTTTTTGCCGTGCGGCCGACGTTTCCGGAGGTTTTCGTCTTCTTCTCGCACGACGTCCAGCACCTGGCGCCAGGGCGGGGTGATATATATATTTTTTTATGTGTGTTTTTTTGTGCTACCTGGTGTCTAAACAAAGAGTCCTCCCGATGTCATATTTCGTGTATCTACGCGCCCTCTGGTCCCCTCTGTCTCATTCACGCCGCACCGCACCTCCCCCATCTTTTTTTTTCGCGTGACAGACATATGATGTCTCCGGCAAGCTGAAGCACTCTCTCTCTTTCTGCGTCGTCGAGAGGGAACCCTTGCAAATAGAAACGCCGACACACCTCCTGTGCAGTAAATCCTTGGTATGGTTCTGCTCAGCATGCGGCATAGATAGTTTGTCGTGCGTGCAGGACTAGCACACACGCCCTGCGTGTGTGGCGGTAAGCTTGTTAGACCTAGGCGCTAGCCCGGGGGATAGGAAGCTGTGTGTGCCCACCGCCTGGAAGCATGCGGTCGCCTAATGCTGTGTTAAGTTGGACAATGTCACGGGGCAGGTGCTATGACCCTGCCGCTGTGCCATGTTGCCATTTTTGCTGCTGCGCGAGCTGTTGTGCGAAAGACCGTCGCCGCTACTCTAGCGACTTTGTGCAGACAGGTTGCCAAGTCTTCACTTAGTGCCGGTGCCTCATGGTTCTACGTGTGCGTACATCTACGTTCTGGTTTTGTGAGACTTGAAGTAGGCCCTTTGATGTCCTTGGGCGGTGGGAGGATTTTCCCGTATTATTGTGGCGGATGCCTTAGAAAATATTCGTACAATCACCGAAAGACTGCTGTACCCGTTCGAGACAATACCCCAGTCAATGGCGTGTATGTCGTGAGGTCTTTACAGTGAGTGGGGAAAGGAAGCTGCTGGATACTGGGCCTACAATTGAGTTTGTTTTGAAGCCTTTGCACTGACGGGTCTTTGTACTGGCGCATGATGAGCGGCGCTAGCAGCCTGAGAGGATCTCGGCTCTTGGAGGGAGAATGCAGGGTGGCACAACGGTCCATTTCGATGAAACCGACGTTTCGCGAAAGACTAGTTGGAAGACTACTTGTTGGCGGATGAGACGCACGTTGCGTTTGCCGCCGGAGGCAGGTCTTGTCTCAGCTACCCCAGCTGGCGTGTTTGTTTCTTGGAGGCGTTAGTGATGCTGGAAGTGTGCCTAAGCCCGGTAATCTTGTGGTTGGGCGGAGTGTACTCCCGGCCTTGGGTCCCGAAAATATGACGTCGGTAACGGATGATACGAAAGGGCGAAAGGGGTGCACGCACGGTATACGTCGTACATACCATACCTTTCACCTAGTAGACGCGTCGTACAGCTCGGAGCTCATTCCAATTGTTTTAGGCTTGCAGTATCAGCATCAGGTACCCCAGGATCCCGTGTCCGTTGAACGGTCCCCTTCTACATATGTACGCGAGGAGTTTCATCGGTGAGTAAAGGAAGGGAGAGAAATCGCTAGTAGTCTAAATATATCCGTATCCGTGTGTTTTGCAAGTCTTGGGTCATGTCGTCATGTAGACCCCTCATACTTGGCTGCTCCAGCCAGGCAGCGGTGTGCGTGGGGAGAGGGTCATTTTCTCGTCGAGGCATGGCACCCGTACAACAAGACGACAGGTTGATGTCCAACACTGCTGTGCACGCGTTCATGCCTCTGCAAAGCACTGGAACTCGAGAGCCAGTTCGCATGCAGTGAAATGACTCAGTGGTCGAATGTACGTACGTCCAAACTTGTGTAATTCTAGACTTTAGTTTGCATACGTAAGTGGTATACCGGAGCCGTATTGTACCGCCACTCGTTTTCTGTTGTTTTTGTGTTTTGTTTGTGGAAACAGGGACAATGCCACCCCGAGGGTGTGATTCAACATCATAACATCCAACCCCCGTTCTAGTTCGACTTGTCTGGACAACGTTTTATTTTACATGCACTGCTGTATTACTGCTGTAGAACCCTCATTCATCAAGTCGTGGGTCACACAACAAGAGTTCTTTATCTCTCTCCCTTCTAACTGTGGTACTTGCTTTTTTATCGCTAGAAGGATTCAGCTGTGGCTATGGAGAGAGTGCAGGCTACTGCTTGCTGTAGGTTGACAAAGCTTAAGTCAATCTTGAACACATTCGCTCGTCGCTCTTCTTCGAGGAGGACAGAAAACACTGCTGCCACGCAAAGCTCGCCCGCCCAGCGGCAGAAATACAGGACGAGCCAGAATGAACGTGAGAGCGAAACGCACCCATGGGTTTCACTTATACAACCGATTGACTTTCCTTTTGTGTTCCAACAGCTGTGTGTTAGGTAAGGTGGTTGGTTTTCGCTCGTGTAGGTTATCCTTGTTCAGCGAGTGTTTCGTGTTTCGAACGCGTTCATATTATATTGCAGTGGTGCTGCTTGCTGCCGTCGACGCTGCCGCTGCTCTGTCCGCAAATTGACCTGGTGTGCAGCTGCAGCGTTATCAAAAAGGGTGTCCAATATTCTTATTGACGAGACGCTCTTGCACCACTATACGTTACTTCACGTTAGAGACAGCAGACAGCAGCAAGCAGCACGTATCGACGGTTTGACGGTTTCCTTACGTTCACTCGAAGCGGTACAACTCGGGCCGATTCTCGGAGAAATCGAACCAATGAGCAGAGTTTTCGGATCCACTTGAATTCCGATCTTCTCTCTCCCGGCGGGCCTGTCTCGAAATCGGTCTATCATACGTCGTTCCCAGCGATTGTTGTGTGCGTTCCCTTGCTGTCGACAAATTTTTCCGCATCACAGAGCTCAGCCCAGACATTAAGATGAAGTCTTTCGCCGTGTTCGCTGCATGGTGTGCGGGTGGGGCGCTCGCGTTCGCCCCTGTGCCCAAGGTATCCTCCCTGGGCGCCAAGTCTGCTCCTGCTAGGAACAGCGCAGCTACTGCTCTTGATGCCAAGAGCAAGGCCCTCCCCTTCCTGGAGAGCCCGGCCACGCTGGACGGGAGCATGATCGGGGACTTTGGCTTCGACCCGCTCGGGTTGACGGAGAACATCGACATCCCCTTCGGTGAAGAGAGAGACACATAGCAGTAACATGCGTGTGTGACGCCCCCGGTTCACGCGTGCGTTTTTTCTTGCCCGCTTGTTGTCTTGCCGAAGAAGCGGCGTAATTCCGCCTTGAAGCTACCTGCTGCTGCTGCTGCTGCTGCTGCTAGGTGCATGCCAATCGACCTTGACAGCAGCAGCAGTACCCGCTGCTGCACCTTCCACCCCAATCGATGCTCCTGATTTTCCGGGTGATTGTCTGCGCCTGTCGAAAGCCGCGCGGTAGCGTATGCATTCGAAGTCCCAGATCGAAATTCCAAGTTGATCATTCTCATTGCTTTGCATCTGGCTGCTATTTTCGTCGCGCCCCTGCCTTGTTTGCCTGGACCGTTCATCCCTGCTGCTGGCGCCTCGGAATCGCCGGCCTTGTTCTACCCTATCTTGTCCAACGTCAACTCATCTTCAGCGCGTGGTGAGTAGTTTGGTACATCTGGGTTTGCCTTTTCGCTGTTTTCTTTTCCTCCATGTGCATATGCGTACGTTGACATCAACTTTATATTCATAGTGCTCTTTGTGAAGGTGAGAAGCTTCGGCAGCTGGTAATTTATCTACACATGATCATGAATAGCAGATTCGCAAGTGAGGTTTGTATCTATAGACTAGTACTTCGTTGTGTACAGATTTTGTATGCAAGGGCGAAGTATCGATTTTGATCTCGTTCGATCTTTGTAGGCTGGAGGCGGACAAATAGTCCCAGACGTAATAATATCTTCTTCAACCCGGCACTACCTATTTAGTTAATAATGAAGAAGCCGTTGAGCTGACTTTAGAAGGCTGCTCGGTTTGTAATATGAGGCACAAACAAATGCACACACTTTTTCCTTCCGGGAGTTCACCGAAGGCAAGGCGTTATTCTTCCGTGCTTTAGTCGTTGTTTGGTGGAGAGCACGGGCTCGCCCAACCCCACGAACGACAGCCGCCCGGAGACCTCTAGGTACCGACATATCCCTACAATTACGAAAACTATCTTCCAAGCAAATACGAAAGCCGTATTGTTACGCGTATTAAAACTATTACAAGGGTAAGAGATCCCAGGTACCAAGCATTGATTTCATTTGGCCCGGGCTCTCGCGTAGTAGAGATTTACATTGTACTCTCTGGAACAAGTTGCGGCGGTGGTCTGCCTGGAGGGCACGCAAGGCTTACAGCTTGTTCTGCTCAGGAAATAATATTGGGCGCAGCGGGTGGGTTCAATCGGGGGGAGGATGGCGTGGGGAGGGAGGGGGGGGGAGCAGGGAGGTGGTTATTGCTTTTGGCTTTCCGCCCCTGGCTGTGTGGAGCAGTAATAGCTGAGCAAGCTAAGCTTAAGCTTTGTTGGAGGCGTTCGGGTGCTGGGGCGTACCTTGGGCGCGCGGGGGGGGGGGGGATGGCCGTCGAGTACACAGCACAAGTCTCGATTTGAAAGACCTCTCGCTCATGTAGTTTGTCGACAGTTAACTTGCAGTTGATCGATTCGAGTCCTTAGATTTCGTTGGACCTTGTTCAGTACATCCAGCAATCCATCCGGATTCGCGGATTCGCGTGTATATCTCAACGGCGCGCGTCTGGTCGTGACGAGAGGTAGATGCAGCGGGCGTCGGTGTTCGCACTGGTTTCGTGCCGACGCCGCAACCCCATAAGTTAAGCGCGCCTATCCCCGACATGCACACAACAACCCCAGGCATTCCGTTCACCTCGCTGTTACGGCAGCGGTAATACATTTTAGTGGGTATGTATCTCACGGGCGCGGGGGGTTTGGAGGGACACTGCTGCTTCTTCCGTAGTGCCTTGGAAGCCAGCATGCTCATGCCAAATATCGTAGGCTTTCCGGTTTTTCGTATGGTGGCTCAAAGAGCACAGATTGACCCCTCTGCTATAACTTCGTGCTACCGCTTTGTGTCAATATCTCTCGTTTTTCGACCGTTTTTTCTGTTGAGCTCCTTCCTCCCCGTCAGGAAAGAAGAAAAAAAAAACGGGCCTCACCACCACAGATACAGACGACCTATGTGCAACAGCAACAAACATGTACATTGACGCGTGAATCCTAACAGAGAATCCGGCAGCCCACAACAAGGAACTGGTGGTCGGGTCGATCGTTTTGTGATCATTTTCGGATAAAATTCCTGGATTTTTCTCTCCGGTCTGTCGAGACTGGATGCACGTTTGAGTATCGCCCCTGTCTTAAAGTAGGTGGCCCGAAATAGTGGCATGTAGGGGCAAGAGGAGATTATGCCACTATTCGATCTAGTATCAGGTTCATGTACAAGTTGAGGTTGTGGCAAGAGATTTTGATGCCACTATGTCGGCAGCTCCATTATTCAAGCTGCCACTATGTCTGGCCAACTACTGCACTCGACGTTCTTGTCGCCGTGAACAGCATTCCACAGGCTAGAGTAACAAAAAGACCGCACGCACTATCGGAACAACATGTCACACACACACCCCTTCCCACCCTCCTGTCCTTTTTTTGTGGCTGCCACACGCGTTACATGTTTTACCCGCCGCCGTTTTTTGCTGACGAGCAGCTGCGGAGATCAAGCACGGGCGCGTAGCGATGCTCGCCGTGGTCGGCTTCTTGCTGACGCAGTACGTGCACCTCCCGGGGGACCAGTTCCAGGCGGGACCCCTCGAGGCGCTCACGACCGTACCTGCCGGGGCCCAGGCGCAGGTCTTCACGTGTGAGTTGCCGCATTGCTGCTGCCGTGGTCGTTTTTACGCATCCATTTGGCGTATGAGTGCATAACCTTCTTGCTGCGTATGTGTGGGTGTTTTTTGTATTTTTCTTGTTGTATACAACCAATCCATCTTCATCCATAAAAGGGAGGGGTCTTGTGTGTGTGTGTGTTTTTTTTTTTTTTTTTATCGTTAGCATCGACGGTGGTTTACAACCGGCTGACCAATATAAAAGACGTCCGTCTCTGTGCGGTCGTGGCGCACAAGATGCTTCTGAAGGCCATGATCTTGTTTTTTTGTTGTTGTCTTTGGAAGGAAATGTTTTTGTTTGGAGTTGGCTGAAAGAAGGCTTGCCGTTGGTCATAGTGGGGGGAGGGCACCTCGCTTGTTTTTTTCCTCGGGGAGCAATTTCACGAAAACGCGGAACACCTTCGTAAGACAGTGCGGATCCTGCTTGGGAATTGAACCATTTCAATCATGAGCTGGTGGGTGGCCCTTAGGCGTCTGTTGTGCTACGAAACATGCGTGCTTTCAGCGGGCTTGCCTGCCACCTTTTCGTGATTTGTGTTGTTGTCGGTTCTTGTTTCGAACTTGGCAAACTTTTAGCAGGCCGGCAAGTTTTGTATGTTTTCCGTAATATCGGAACTGTCTCTCTTTCGCCGTCCACTCATGGCACGTGTACAGCGCATTTGCGGCAATGCGCCGTTTCCGAGTATTATAGAACGATCCTCGTCGACACGTTTTTTTTTATTTCGTGTATTGACATGCGTCTTGTCTGTTTGTCTCGCTTTCTCTCTCTCGCTCCCCCCCCGCCTCCTCGCTGTCTTTCTCCCTTTCTCTGGCCTCTCCCGCCCCCTCCTTATCTCTCCTTTCCACCATGGCCCATGCAGTCATCGGCACGTTCGAGATGGCCGCCATCCTCCAGACGTACTCCGAGGACACCACCGACCCCTGGGAGATCCTCTTGAAGGACCCGATGGTGCGTTAGTCGTCCGCCTGTTATTTATACATGATAGACGCGTACGCGTACTGTAGACGACTTTACGATACGGTCGGATTTTTGTGTTTTTTTGTTCGTGTTGCGGCACTCACTTCTTTCGCTCCCTGTCGCCGCCTACGCCCACGGCCTTGCCTCGAAAAGTAAACAGCAATGATCATGATCCAAGTTAGGCCAGCTAACAACATGGGACGATTCCGTGTGGGAACCCGGATCAGGGCGAGCACTCCGGGCGAAAACTTCTGCCGCGCGTAGAATTAACACGCCACCCAGAGTGACATTCTGGCGGTTTGCAGCAGATTCGAACTTTTTCGAGCCATTTATAAACATTTTCCAGCTGTCTTTTTTCGCACAATTTTGCAGTTTTTTTTTCGGGGTGACAGATTGTCTCAAGAGTTGACGTAGTTGAGGCTTTCCTGCGACGACGCAAGTATGGTTTCTCATACATATATCTTCAAGGATCAGTACGCGGACGCCGTAACCATTCTTCTGTTTTTTTTGTGAATGGCGAATTCAAAGAAAAACAAAACATTTTGTCTCTACAAAGTATGTGGCGGGCATGATATTTCCGTAGTTTTTTGCAATGCGAAATAAACAAGAAACGTGCCCGACGAAAATGTCAAGCAGACTCTTTCCGTGTGTAGGCACGCAGAAGAGTTTTTGGTCTCTTGTCGCTCGCAAATTGTTCGGCGGAGGGAGCCCTTACACGAGTGATGCGGACGATGGCTCCTTTCTGCCATCCTTTGCCGCGCGTCTGCGGCTACTGCTGTAACTTGGCCATTGGGTGTGTGTTGGTTTCCTGTCGCAGGCTGTAAAGACATACCATTCCCTTGCAAGAGACCCCCGACTTCCGTGGTTGTTCGACGTCCGTTTCGAACCGGCTGTCGCTTGTCAAGAATGGCTGGCTTTCTTTTTAGGTGTGCTGCTGACTCGACGCACCATATTTCGGCTGTGCAACCCCCCCCCCCCCCCCCCCGCGCGC